CAAGCAGTCTCCATGCTGTCAGCACAGTGCCCCCATGTGGAGCTCGATCTCATGAATCAGGAGATCTTGGCGGGAGCCAAAATCAAGAGTCAGACACTTAACTGCCTGAGCCACCTAGGTGCCTTTTAAGATTTTATTTTTAAGTAATCTCTACACCCAACATGGGGTTCACACTCACAACCCCTAGATCAAGAGTCGCACGCTCCACCAGCTGAACCAGCCAGGTGCCACAAGGACAGCCACTTTGGAAAACGGCCTGGTAGTTCCTGAAGAACGTGAACCATAGAATGACCGTATGACCCAGTGTTGCACTCCTGGGCATATATCCAAGACAAAGGAAAATGTATGTCCACATAAAGACTTATATATGAATGCTCATAGTAGCTTTATGCGTACAATAGGCAAAAAGTGCGAACGGCCCAAATGCCTATCAAATGATGAATGGATAAGTAAAATAAGGTCTATCCAAGCAGTAGAAAACTGTTCAGCCATGAGAAGGTATGAAGTAGTGATACATGATACAGCGTGAATGAACGTTGACAACATTGCCCTAAGTAGCCAGTCATTAGCAATCACTCTCCACTCTCCCCTTGCCCCAGCCCCTGACAGCCACCAATATTCATGATTATAAGAGATGTCCAGAAATGGCCAGTCTGTACAGACGCAAAATAGAGACAGGTGGTTGCCAGGGACCGGGCAACGGGAGGGTGGTGAGTGATTGCTAATGGGTATAGAGGTTCTTTGCGGGGGGGGGGGGGGGGGGGGGGGGTGATAAAAACATTCTGGAATTAGATAGTGGTGATGGTTGTACAACTTTTGCAAATGAATTAAGAACCATTGAATCGTACTTTAAAAGGGTGATTGTTATGTAATGTGAATGATACATCTATGTATCTGCCTAGATGTCCATTTGTGGCTAGTGGCTACAATATTGTACAGTACAGCTCTAGAATCAGATTATCTGGGTCCAATTCTGGCTTCGCCTTTACTGCTGTATCACCTTAAGCAGCTTACTTAACCTCTCTGGGCTTCGGTTTTCTCAACAGTAGAACTGGGGTAATAGCTGGACTGCTTCAGAGGGTCGTCACGAAGACTAAATGGGCTGATGTACCTCCAGCTTCTAGACCAGTGCCTGGCATGCGGTGCTGTAGGAGAGTTCTCCAATACTGATATTACTAATTCACAATCAGAAATCTCTGGACACCTTTCAGCTGTTGTGCATGCCTGGGCCCAGCCCCCAGCCCTTTCCCGTGCCTCCTCTCCCCTCCTCGCTTTGCCTGCAGGCAATCTCTCTGCTGTGTAAACTGTGGCTGTAACAACCATTCCCGGCTCCCCGGCAGCAGCAACGTCACTGGAGCTGGGTGTCACATGTAGGGTCTGGGCAGCATCACTAATGGAAAACATTGCCAGTAAATCTCGAGGTCCACTGGGCAGGAGAGGCAGGGCCTGTCAGGGAAGGGGGGACCACGTCTCCTGCGGAGGCAGGCAGTTCATTTTCTGCAGGAGGCCTTCCCTCCCAGCTGAGCCTGGAGCCCAGGTCTTTAAATGAGAGAAGATTGAGTATAGTCAAGAATCCTCTCTCTTGATCCTATAACCTATAACATGCGGAGGGACGTGGTGGCGGGGAAGGGAAGAGGACAGGATTAGGAAACCAGCACCCCTTCCCCACAGGGCTCTATCCAGGCAGGCTGTCACTCCTGCTCCCGCAGCCCTCACCGCTGACTGCCCTCCGCAGTGCTTACCTAAGGCAATTATCTGGTGCTAGGTATGAAGAAGTGGCTGTGGCGGCATTGCTCTCTCCCTTGGAGCTTTAATGCTCACTCTCCAAGTTCACATCCAAAGACTGTACCTGCTCACCAGCTGAGTAAGGCTGAGCTGGCCTGGCCCCGGGCAGCCTTGTGGGGCTGCCCTCTGGCTCGCTTCCTCCCTCCCGCTCACTACAGAGAGCGGGCCCCAGAAAGGGCCAAGCTGGGCATGGTGGGGGTGTAGGGGGGTGACTCATCTCCTTCCTCATCAGGCAAGCTTCCTGCCTCAGGGACATTGCAGAGGTGCAGAGCGAGACCTCCAGAGCACAGATCGGAACCCTTATCTACTTCCCACTGGCAATGCTATGTAGGCCAGCTGGAGTCTCTCTGAGACTTTGGCCCTGGATCTGAGCTTGCCAAGTGGAACCCAGAGATCCCCGGAACCCCTCCCCACCCCACCACCCCCCATGCCCAGGGCCAGTTGACTCCCCTCAGAAGCCAAGCACTGCTCACTCTCCCCATGAGCAAGACAGGGCCCCCCAAAGTAGGTGCTGCAAACTCTTGGCTCTTCTTCAAGGATGATAGTCGGGGGAAGGATGCCAGCCCCGGGAGTGCAGAGCCTGGGAGGAAAGGAGGTGTACTAAGCAGAATGCAGAGGGAAGAGGACCCTTCTAGTAGCTGCTTGCAAGCCTGAGAGCAAGACAGCTGCCCGTGTTGCAGCACTGCGGCAGCAGCAAGGCCAAGGCCGGCTGAGGACCGGCAGCGCCCCCTTGTGGCCCTCCTCAGCAGCAGCGAACCTGGCAGGGGCTGGACTGCGGCTGGCATCCTGGGAGGAGCAGGACATAAATGCCTCCTCTTATCGGAAGCCTGGAGATGGAGCAGTGGGCTTTCCCGGAGAACAGTGGGTGTGTGCCCAAGTGCCCAGGGAGTAGACTTGGTCTGAAGGCCCAGAACACAGCCCAGTGGCCTGGCATCGGGAAATCAGCCCCCATTTTGTGATAGACATACTGTTCTGGTGGTGTGCACCAAGATGTCAGAATTTCTCAAAATATAACTTCCTGTATCATATCGTCCACACTGGGGCTTGCAAAGATGCGGATTCCTGGCCCCCTCTCAGCCTGTTAAATCATAATCTCCAGGGGTGACACTCTTACACTTGATCTTTAACACATTCTGGGAGAAAAGATGCTTGTGTGAGGTTCACAAGATGCTTGTGGGGGGTTCACAAGATGCTGGGAGAAAAGATGCTTGTGTGGAGTTCACTACAGAGCTGTAGGGCCGGACAGTCAGAGTTGGTTAGAGGCCGTGGGTAACCCCTACACCAACTCCCTTATTTTATACGTAGGGAAACTGAGACCCAAAGAAGGGAAATCATTTACCCAAGACCTCACAGCTAATTAGCATGTACCCTCAGGAAGGGCAAGCCAGAAGTCTGCCTGCTGCCTTCCTCCCCAACACCCCCTGCCTCACCCTTCCTCTTAGCCCAGTGCCCAGTGGAGACACATTGCCGAGGCTCTCTGACCCATGCCTTGTGACTCAATCAAAATGGAAACACTAGGTGATCTGGAGACACCTGCCTGGCAGTCCCGGGCCAGGAGTGACCACGCTTGCCCTGTCTCTGGCCCCAGGTTTTGCTTCCATCTCCTGGTTTTCCCTTCCTCGCCTCACATCCATGTGGCCAATGTGTTATTTCTTTAGTCCTGGCTCTTTCTAGGTATTTTGCCCCGTGCAGCACCTAGTTGTAGGGCCATGTACACTTGGCTCAGTTCAGTTCACACACTGGTTGGAAGGGTTCAGGATTCTCTGGGGCAAGGATGAAGTGCCCCCAGAGCTCCTCTAGGGAGCAGGAGCACTCAACAACCAGATGTGTGTCATTTGTCATGCTGCAGGATTCTGTGACAACCACTTCTGACAATATTGTGACGTACGTGGGGGGATAAGTGAAATGACAGAATTGGTAACAGAACAAATCGTCCCCCGCCTGCGTGCTCCATGGATGGGGGTACCTCTTGCATGGAGGCCCACCCAGTGTTCTTTCTAGGGCCTCTGGGGTCATCAGAAGGTGAGGACAGGGGTGGCGGGAGGAGATGGGATTGTAGGGAGAAGTCTCTTGCTCTGCCTGAACTCAGGGGGGAGTTTGGTCCTGGGTCACCTACCGGTTTCAGTGCCTGCTCAAGGCCACCCCGCAGGACTGAACCCTCCAAGACTCCTTCCAAGATAGCAGTCAATCCAGTGCAAGGTTGCTGGCTGCAAGAACCACGTAGTGCAACCTCTGAGCAGTGGGTTGAGACCTGGCAGATGAAGGATGGCCCCGAGGTGGGCCTTCATCACCTGCCATGGATGGACTTTGAAGGTGCGTGTCCTTGAGTAGAGGAGAAAAATAAAAGTGATTCCACCTCCCAAAGCTATTTGACTCATTGGAAACACAAAATGCCATCCACAAATACTAGTTGTGATGTGGTAAAACACAAAAATCTCCCAGGTCATTTAGTCTAGCCTGGATATCTAAGTGGATCTATTCCAGAACATTCCAAACCGTAATTTACATTTCGATCACCCCCTCTGGTGACACATGTCCTTGCCTCTCACTCCTAGCCCACAGCCCAGGGAGAAGACACAGTGCTCAGGTACAAAGAGCCCCGGGCCAAGAACGCACCTGCCCTGACGTTCGCAACCTGGGTGACTCTGGACAAGTCTTACCCCTCTCTGGGCCCGAGTGATGTGTTGTTTTCCCCCCATCTATAAAGTGAGAGGGCAGATGATTCTTCCGAGCTCTGAAATGCCATAGCTTGAAAACGTTCTTCCTCTTGAGTCGCCTCCATTTCTCCTGCTGTTTCTCACTGAGCCCAGCCACTCACAGCAAAAGCCAGTGCAGAAGTCAGACACGAACCCAGTCCTCTGCCCTGGGCTAAACTACTAATGTGGTTTCTGAAACACTGGTGGAAGTAATTAAGATTTCAACAGTGAGTTTACTTAATCGTCAGCTAATAATTAAAATTGTACCGCACCTGGGTAAATTTGACTGCTGGGTGATGGATCCCCTGGCATCCCTCCTCCTCCTCCCTGCACCTCCCTAGATCTGGTGGGGTTATTACCCAGCATTGGAGGCCCCCATTCATTACTACATCAGATTTCAGACTGGTGGCCAGAGAAGGCCGCTGAGACCCAGCATCTCCCATGGCTGAGACGGGCTCCAGGGGAGCGGGAGTTGAAGATGTAACATAGCTACGGTGCAGGGCTGTCATCGGGCCCGATGACTCAGGGACAGCGTTGTGTTGCCACATCATCCGCTGCCTACCTCCAAGTATGAGGGCCTCCCCCAGCCAGAGCAAGGGCCCAGAGGAGGCAGGAGGGTTCACCTGAGCCGCGGGGACAGCACCACCCACCTGCAAATGGAAGGACCAAGCACCCCAGTGGGAGCGTGTGCCCTTTGCTCACCTGCCCCCTTTACACCTTCTGACAAATACTGCGTGCCAAGCACTTTACGTGCAGAGCACTTTACGTGAATTAGCACTTTCACTGTCATAGCAACCCTCCCAGGGAGGCACCCCTATTCTCCCAGCTTTACAGAGGGGAGAACTGCAGCAAGCTGGGATGCCCTGTTCAAGGTCAGACCCGCTGGGAAAGCACAGTGCAGGATCTGAACTCCAGTCTTTCTGACTCTAAGGGCTATATTCTTGCTACTACACCACCCTGTCTGTTCTTGCCCCAGTGTCTCCATTTCTTGGAGTCTCGTTCAAGTTCATAGTCTTGCCTTCTTGGGGAAGCTTGTTTTCCTGATTTACCATCACACGCACAGTGCCTCCTCCCGGTGCGCCATCCCTTCTCCAGATAAACGACCCCTGTGCAACTGTTTTCATCTCTTGCCTTCCTCACCTGCAATGGAAGACAGACAGGGGCACATAAATCTCTGTGCGAATGTCTGCAGAATTGCAAACCTGCACGTGTGTGATTCGAATGTGAGGGTTCCCACAAACTGCTGGCCGGACCACAAGTAGGTTGTGTGTGTGTGTGTGTGTGTGTGTGTGTGTGTGTGTGTGTGTGTCTCGAGGCCCCGTATTGCAGTGGAAAGAACAGGAGCTTTGGAGTCAGACAAACAGGGAAAGCACTCAGGTTCATGCCCGCCGTGAAGTAAGCATTCGGCAACTAGCATTACGTGCGTTTGCGTGTGCGTGCACCTATGTGTCAGGTTTATTTGACTACCGGTGCTTTGGCCCAAAGACTCATGACAAACTGTGCACTCTGGTCTTGTATAAGAGGCAGCAGTGTGTAGAAACACCATCCTACCCTGCAATGCCCAGTGCATGCTGGGAGGGTGATGTTGTTTGTGGCAGCTGTGAGTTACCATGGTGATGGCTGGGTTGGGGGAGACTGTTGCTCTCTCCTGAGCCAGAGGAGTGCACACACTCTTTTTGCAGGGAAAGGCTTGGAGCAGCGGCCCAGGACAACCTCATGAGCTCCCCTCGTAGACCTCCTTGTCAACCCAGAGCTGCAGGAGCCCTGCGTGGCCTTTGTCCAACCCTGCTTCACACACACACACACACACACACACACATACACACACCATTCTTGCAGCAGGACCCTATTCTGTAGCAGCTAAGAGTGAGCATCCCAGACCCTTAGAGTAGGGCTGTGAGAGGTGCTCTGATCACAGTGTTCAAGGGAAGCGAAAGGGGTGTTCTGCTGGCCACACCATGGCCCTCAGCAAAAGCAGGACCCTAGCGGAGTTGACCTGAGAATGCCTTTTTCTCATCTGCACAAAAATGCCGCATAGGCTGGGAGTGTCCTGAGTGCATCCCACACAGAGGGACACTGAGGGGAGGAGAGGAGCTACCGGGCCCTCCCTCTCTGCCATGTCTGTACTCTATTGTGTCCCCTGTGCCTGCCCCACGCCCAGATCAAACATTTGACAAAGACACATGGAGGCGACCTCTGAGGCACCAAGACTTATCCAATAAAACAAACCATCAAGCTTTGCGGTTATCATCACAAAATATAGTGTGTGCCTCAGATACCTTCCCCCCATCTCTGATCCTCATGGGAGATGGGGAGAAAGGGGTGAAGCCTCTTTATGGGATGGGGGTCAGAGGTGGATGGAGTGAAGGTCAGGAGTGAGCAAGGATGAGGGATGGGGTGGATTCTTCTGCCAACGCAACTTTATTCATATTGTTAGATTGAATATGTCAAGATTTGCTTTGGGGTCATGGATATGAACATCAAGTTGCCCCCCAACCTAGGCAAAGTTTCTGCAGCCTCTTGAGCTCCAGAGGCCTTCCCTTTATGTGCACGTCAGTCCTTTCATCGTGGGGCTGCTGCTGTACCTCTAGGAAGGTATCCGTCACCCACAAATGCGGAGCACAGCCAGGCTTCTCAGGAGCCATCGTGAGCTGAGCCTTTGAGAAGTAGAGAGGTATGCCCAAGATGGCCACCAGGGGACAGTGCTGGGGCACGGAGGGAGCTTCAGGGTGTAGCCTCTGCAGGACCCATCCAGGCCTGGGAGCACATGGCAGGTCCAGGTCACCCTCCAACAAATCAGGTTCTAACCCGGACTCCTCCTGTGTATGCCCCTAGCCTACAGTGCAGGGAGACCTGATGCCAGATCTTCTGTTAATATCTCTCTCTGACCTCCAGCTAGTTGCCCCTTCACCGGACCCCAGCCTCCCATCTCTCCTATGACCAGGTTGGATTGAGTCACTTCCAAGGACTCTTGTGGCTCTAATTTTCGGCAAGTCTGTGAGACTTTGGGGTATCCCCACCTTGCTCTACTGCTGTGGAAATGAGGTAGGGGCTAGGGGCGCCTTTGAGGGAAGAGATAGAGGGGAAGAAGGCACTGTGATCGGGGCAGTGAGAAGTAGGAAGTAGGAAAGGGTCTCCCTTTCTGTCACTACTAGAGCATTAAGATCCAGATTCACACACCCATACCCGCCATGCCCCAGGGCCTGGAGCATTAAGGAATACAGAGTGACCGTCCTGGAGCCGGCTACGATGTGGATTAAATATTTTTCCTTTAAAAAAAAAAAAAAAAAAAGACAACTTCCTAAAGGGACATGTATCTATCCATTCTTTTTTAAATGTACTTGACAATGTTTTTGGTGGTAGCATCCATCTATTCTTCAAGTGTCCATTGAGCACCTACTATGTGCCATCACTGTGATTGAGAGTAATGGTGCAGAAATGCCCGGTGATACATAATGAGAAATGGCAGTTCCTTCCTGGGCCCAACTCTGCTCTGTCCTACGTGCTACGGTGTGTGTCCTTGGGCAGTTTCTTTCATCTTTTGGAGTCTCAGTTTTCCCATCTGTAAAATGGGGGTGGTAGCACAAATCTCCCATGAATGTAAGGATTCAGCTGGATGATATATGCACAGGGTTGGCACACACACAAGTCTCTGAGTAACTCTTGGTCACCTTCCTCTTTGAGACCGCACACCCCTTGGAGTTATGCATGCCTTTCCCTCATCTCTGCCAAACCCATAGAAAGAATTGCCCTGGCCCAGAAACCCACATCTTGGCGCAATGTTCTTGGTCCCCACACAGGCATTTGGGAACCAAGCGTTAAAAATGTATGTATATACACATTCTGATCCTGTATGTGTTCCATGCCAAGCCATCAGTTAAAGCCATGGAGCAGCTCACAAGGTGACATTGCCAGGATAAATAGGCATTGGCAACCTCAGAAGTGACGACAAGGCTGGGGACGGAGCTCAGAGCATGGAGGCCTGCCATTTGTCCCTTCTTGCCATCAGCATGGAGGGTGGATACATGATGTTGACCCTGAGTGATCCTACCAGCAGCTGCAGCGGCCTCCCATAGGCTCCCCTAGGGAGAGGAGAGGAGAGGTACTTGGGTCTGGATGTGGAGCTGGTTCTCAGAAAAGGTGCCGCCTGGTTTCCTACCCACCCTCCCCAGCCTCCCCTCGGCTGACAAGACGGAGCAGCTGTCTACCAGCCAGCCTGAGCTCATTCCTGGGGGAAGAAGTGCCTCCTGAAGGGATTCAGAAACATTCCCCTTGGCAGCAAAAGGAATCTCATACCCATGCTGAGTCTGTGGGTCGGGAAGGGATCGAGAGGGCAGTTTGACCAGGAGAGGACCGCGGAGGGTTTGGAGGGAAAAGGGAAGTAGCCTGAGAATGAGGATTCTTGGGTTTTCTCCATTGCTTTGCCATCATCTCTCTGTAGGTCTTTGACTCTCCATACGTTGTCTTTCAGGGAGGCATTGGGGGATTTGCTTCCATTCAGTGACTTTGGATCCCAAAGTCCAAGACAAACCATGGGACAGGGACAGGACCTCTTCACTTTGGTGTCCTCAGGGCCCGCTGTGGTACCTGGCACAAAGTATGTGTTTGATGAAGATTTACTGGATGGATTGACAGATGGATGGAGAAAGTTCTTTGAGTTCTTCATGCTCGGCACCCCTTGGTCTTTTGAATGTTATTTTCACCCTGGAAAGGAGATGGGATAAATTTGTTTGTTCTTTGTAGATTCTTCTCATCTGTCCGTGTTAATATTCTGCCTGGAAACCAAGGTTAGATAAAATGACCCCTGCTCATTTAGGATCCTGAGGATGGCGGCCACACCCATACATCCTCCCCACTCGGGACTGCACCGTTGTCTGGGGTCTGAGTTGCCCAGAGTTCAGTCCACGCTCTTGGGAATGACTGCCCATGCATTCCAGCTTCCTCACTTGTAGACAAGCGCTCTATCTGCACTGGCTCTCCTGGACCCCATAGAACAACTCCAGACATTCCCCTTCAGTGCTCGGGGCTCCGGGAGTGTGATATGCTGAAGCTGGCTCGTCCCAGCTCCCCAGAGCCAATTAGTAGCATCTCTTCCTAACCCTGCAGTCAGTGACATCACGTTGGTAGCTTAAAAGGGCCACGGGAGGAGTATTTACACCACAGATAGTGGCAAACGCTCCAAGTCAGGGCGTCCCGGCCTCCAAGAGCCAATTGTTAAACATTTACCAACACGTCACTGGAGATGGGGTTTCGGGCAGACGTTCCACGTGACCTCAACCATGGGAACCTTGCCCAGGACCTCAGCTGTGAGAAGCAGGGCCTCCCCAAAGTGGAGCCAGCAGAAGCCATTCCTCAGGGGGTCTGGGAGGAGTGCACAACACAGAAGGCCCCATGCCTACAGCCCCCTTCCGGGGTCGAGACGTCAGGTGGTCAAGGGCATGTGCCCAGGGTGACCAGCACAGCGTGGGGAGTGGTGTCCCGGGGACATGATCAGTCTCCACTCCGTGACACCCTCAGCTCTCAGCAGCAACTTTTCCATTCACCCAACTGCGCTTTTCTCCCTCCAGACCCAGAGTCCCAGAGAAAGAGGACAGTGCAGAACGTCCTGGATCTTCGACAGAACCTGGAAGAGACCATGTCCAGCCTGCGAGGGTCCCAGGTGACTCACAGGTAAGTCCAAGCTGCGGAGGGGGCCGTGCCCCCCGCTGCTGTCTCTGTCTCCCACTCTGGAGGGCAGGGCTTCGGAGCGCCGTGGCACAGCGCCGCAGGAGCGGAGAATCGGCCGTCTTGGTGAGAGAAGCTTGGCTTGGCTGGCATCAGCTTGTGCTTGAGTGTGAGATTCATTGCAGGCAATGAATGTGAAAATCGCCAGAGTGGGGGATGGGAAGCGCAAGCCACCACATGACCCAGGGTGTGACCTGTGATATCCACTTTCCCTCCTTGGGTGTCAGCCTCCTCATTTGCTGCAAATGCTGTCCTTTGCCTGTTCCGAAGCGTCTGTTGTTAGAGGATTCTGGGATCCTGCCTGTCCCAGCTTCCGGCATCTTGTCAATCTTCTGTCAGGTGCCCTCTTGCCTCTTCAGACAGTGGCTGAGGGAGGCCTGGGTGCCCGGCCTCCATGTCATCCAGATCCATGCCATGGGGTGTGCCCCTCCACCCCACCCTGTAGAGACCTTGCTGCCTCCAGCGGCGCAGGGCACTTATCCCTCCCGTGGAACCTCTTCCTGGAGTGGCATGCTGGCCACAGCCTCTGCCATGACTCAGAATTTCCCCCCACTGCCTCCTTGGGCTGCCCAGATGAGCTCATGCTGTCAGCTCCAAGGGGGATAGAGGGCCAGGCTACACTCTGGGGGTAGAAAGAAAGGGAGCAGATGGCCAGGATTGGGAAATCACGGGGGGTGTGGAGCAGGAAGGCTGAGAGGGATTAGGTGACCTCTCCAGTTGGACTGGAGATTGGTTCCTCCCCATCTCCTGGGGTTGGAAAATGAGAGCAAAGTTGGGACAGAAAGACAATAGGATAGGGGCTTTTCTTAGCCTAAGTGTGTGGCCAAGTGGTAGCCAGACTAAATTTACATACCTCCAACGACAGGGAACTCATTACCTGTCAGTCATCTCAGTGTGCTGTGGGATTGCCATGACTAGGAAGTGGAACTGAAATCAGGCCTCAGCAGCTTTCACCCATTGGCTCTAGTTCTTCTACTTAAGAACACCCCTCTCCCTCCCTCCACTCTTCTTCTGCCTAGTCCATCCTAGCCTTCATATTGGACATTCAGCTCTTTGTTCCCAGATAACTGAAATATTTTAAATGCTAAATCAAAGCCTCTACTCTATGGGGTTAGGCAAGCAGAACCCAGACTACTGAAAGGGATGTGGTCAGGACATCTGAGGAAAAGAGTGCAATGTGGGGCTCCCAGAGGCCCTGGGGCTCAGGCCCCCTTATATTTGACTCTATCCCTCAAAGCCCCGAACAGGACCCAGTGGCACAGGGGCCGGGCTCAGCTTGGCTCACCAGTTCAGGGACCCAGTGGATAAAATTTTGAACGTTCCTCCTTCCCCCATCCAGAGAAGTTGTTAGAACGGCTCTCAGCACCAAATCACATGCCAGCTCCATGCCAAAGAAGGCAGAAAGTGTTTCACTGCTGAGAGGGTCCCACCCCAAATGACTCAGCCACAGGGGAAGGCTAGAAGCAGCAGCTTCAGTGTCCTGGTGCCACTGACTCGAAGCAGCCAGCCAGTTAAGCAGGACAGCCTGACCTCTCTTTTTGCTTTCTGTTTGGGGTAGAGGAGAGTGAGGCTGAAAACCTTTTGCATAAAGCTGACTGGTTTGAGGGGGAGAGCCTCAGGCCTCTGGCTACTATCTCCCTTTATGGAAAAAAAACAAAAAACAAAAAACCAAGAGCGCTGAAGCTGGTTTTGCTGTTTACTGTGGACCCAGAGCCACTTCCTGTCTTAGCCTTTGGTTTATATTATCCCTATTCCACACTTTGATAGCCAAAACAATGATTCCTTGAGTTTTTATGGCTCTTTTACTTTTTAAAGTGCTCTCCATCAATCAGCACTTCCCTCAGCCCTGGGGGTAGACAGGATATTTTCATATCCTCTGGGTTAGAGAAGCAGCAGGCGAGGCTGGGGAGAGGGGGGTCCCTTGCCAGAGTCACACAGGCTGATTAGGGTGGGTTCTGTGTCCAGCAAGCTTAGAATCCATGCCAGGCACAGTGCTGGGCACCAAACCCCAGAACAGACACAGGCTTTATACTTGATGAGGAGCTTACCATCCAGTGAGCGCTTTCAGCAAGGTCATTTTCACTCTGGAACTTACAGGCTAACGCTAGATTCAATTCCTTTTTCAGAAATCTTTATTTCTGTCCTGCTTCCTCTATTTCTACTGGCTCGTTTCCCCAACAGGGAGAGTGTCTGGGTCAGGGGGCTGGGGCTGGAGAGGAAATGAAACTCTCTCTCTGCTCCAGGACTGCCGTTCTCCCAACCCCAGAGAGAGAGAGAGAGGGAGGGAGAGAGAGAGAGAGAAGCAAGACTGAAGGGCTGGATGCAGGGCTGGAAGTCAAGAACTGAAATTTTAAGCTAGAATCCTCCCCCCACTGACTTAGAGATGTCTGGAGATGTGTTTGGGGGATAGAAAAGAGCAGTGAAATAGATGAAGAGGCACTTTGAGTGCACAGAGCTAAACAGGAGTAGGCCAGGAATAGAACTGAGGAGTCTATATGCTGAGCATGACCCACACTCCTCACTAATTGTATTACCATGGTGTAGACTGACTATGAAAACTGGCTGTCCTGGAGCTCTCCAGCGCCCTGTCACCATGGTCATCATCATCATCCCTTTCGTTCCCCTCCTCATCTCATTGTCACGGTCAGTTTGTTTTTATTAAACACTGCGTGAATCCCTGTACTGAGTCTTACGACAAGAGCCTCCCTGCTCTTCAACTCAACACATCTTGGGTTTGTTCCTCATCGATTTGTCCTTGTGCGTGTACCTAGTACATGCCAGGCCCTGTGCAAAGTGCAGCAACACAGCGGTGAGCAAGGCAGACAGAGTCGCACAGGCCCACGGTCTCCTTCAGGGAACTTCCACTCTCTCTGAGGTCCACGGTAATTAGAAACAGAAATAACGCAGCGTATGACAAAGCGCACATAGAACACAAAGGAGGGCCCAGAGGGGAGAAGTTGGGTGTGGACCAGGTCAGGAAGCCCCTGAAAGGGCCAGAATCAGCAGTCACCGATCGCCCTGCCCAGCCAGGGTTCCCCCAGCCTTGTCCACAGGACTTCTGTGGGGACCACCAGCATGCTCAGGTTCAAGGGTCATTTGGCTTCTCCTGTTCTTCTTTAATTTTTTTAATTTACATCCAAGTTCGTTAGCATATAGTGCAATAATGATTTCGGGAGTAGCATCTAGTAATTGATCCCCTACATATGACACCTGGTGCTCATCCCGACAAGTGTCCTCCTTAATGCCCCTTGCCCACTTAGCCCATCCCGCCACCCACAAGCCCTCCAGCAACTCTCAGTTTGTTCTCCGTATTTAAGAGTCTCTTGTTTTGTCCCCCTCTCTGTTTTTGTATTATTTTTGCTTCCCTTCCCTTATGTTCATCAGTTTTGTATCTTAAATTCCACATATGAGTGAAGTCGTATGATATTTTTCTTTGACTAATTTCGCTTAGCATGAGACACTCTAGTTCCATCCCCGTAGTTGCAAATGGCAAGATTTCATTCTTTCTGATTGCCAAGTAATACTCCATTGTATATATATACCACATCTTCTTTATCTGTTCATCCATCGATGGACATTTGGGCTCTTTCCATACTTTGGCTACTGTTGATAGTGCTGCTATAAACATGGGGGTGCATGTGTCCCTTCGAAACAGCACACCTGTATCCCTTGGATAAATGCCTAGTAGTGCAATTGCCGAGTATAGGGTAGTTCTATTTTTAATTTTTTGGGCTCCTCCTATTCTGTTGATCAAAAAATAACCCCTTGTTTTCTCAGGGTTGGTAGAGACAGTTTGGGAGGATCTTCTTTTTTTCCAGGAACTTTACAAAAGTTCATTCATACCTCATTCATACCTTAACCCCTGAAGTGGCTAAGAAATAGATGTGCTCACGGAGTGAAGATTCCTGTGCTTTGCGTAACCCATGTCCAGCCACAGACTGCCTTAGCTGCCTGGCTTTCTCGGCCTAAAGATCCTATTTTGGTTAACTCAGCCCTGCATGGTTTTAGCTAGGCCGAGCCGCTGAGACCTTACCTATGGTTGATTTGGGCCGGGCTGGGCGGGATTATCAGTTAGTCTCTGTCTGAACCCAAATCTAGGCCACCTCTCCAAGCAGATCCCAACTGGCCTTTCTCTCTGCAGCCACCGTGGTCCCTCAGGGAGAAAGGCAGCTCCTTGTCCAGCTCCCATACCCCCTCAGGTTATCCCGCAAAACCTGGGCATGCTTCCCTGGCCTGGCCTAGCAGGGCTCGCGGCGTGGGACGCTCTTGTCCATTTCCATATGTTCTCTCCTCTTTCCAGTTAAGGCTGCTTCTGTTCTCTGGTGAGGTTCTGCTTCTGTCTCCTCATGGCCCAGACCTTTGGCTGGGCCTAGTCTTACTGGGAACCAGACACATATCTCAGGTTGCCAAAGCTTTTCCACACCCTCTGTACCCTACTCCAGACTTGGCCATCTCTGGTTTGGAAATCAACTTGCTCCCAGCTCGTTAATAGAGAGGAGGTGATAGACATGCCCTGAACAAATGAATGATCAAGGCCTTTTAAGCTCAAGGTGACCAGATTATCCCACTTACCCCAAGAGATCTCAATGGACCCTTCCCATTTATTGAGCAACTTCTAATATACCAAGCACTGTGTTAGGCATTTACATATGTGATCCTTACAACTGTATGGAGTAGCTATAGTATCTCCATTTTACAGATGAGGAAATGGTGGCTTAGCAAGGTTGATTACTTCACCTCAAGCTCACTTACAAATAAATGGTAGAAAAGGATTAAAATCCAGCTCATATTACAAAATCTGTGCCCTTAGCAGTGTACGTAATTGGTTCCCTCACACTTCAAATCCCTTTCCTCTGACAACCTCAGGTAACATATAACAGGGGCGCCGTACCCAATGAAAGGCCTCCTGGAGAAGGTGGAGCCCACCTGGACAAGTGCAGAGGAGGCGGGAGGGCACGGGGAAGGGAGAAGGGTCGCTGCGGTGCGGTCTGCGTGGGCAGGGCACAGAGCGGCCCTGCCGGAATGAAAACCAGTGCCCTTCTGCCCTCTGCCCTTCTGCCCTCTGCCCTCTGCCCAGCTCCCTGGAGATGACCTGCTACGACAGTGACGACGCCAACCCTCGCAGTGTGTCCAGCCTCTCCAGCCGCTCGTCCCCTCTGTCCTGGCGCTATGGCCAGTCCAGCCCGCGGCTGCAGGCTGGGGACGCGCCCTCGGTGGGCGGGGGCTGCCGCTCCGAGGGGCCGCCCGCCTGGTACATGCACGGGGAGCGGGCCCACTACTCGCACACCATGCCCATGCGCAGCCCGAGCAAGCTCAGCCACATCTCCCGCCTGGAGCTGGTCGAGTCCCTGGACTCGGACGAGGTGGACCTCAAGTCCGGCTACATGAGCGACAGCGACCTCATGGGCAAGACCATGACGGAAGACGACGACATCACTACCGGGTAAGGTCTCTTGTGCAGCTGGGCAAGGGGACTAGAGAGGGCAGGGGGACGACCGGTGGAACGGGATTCCTTGAGGCGAGCGGGACTCATGACAGGAGTTTGGGTAGCCGTGCTGTGACGGGAGACAGCCGGGCAGAGCCTTCGTACGCTGGTTGTGGCCGCCCCTGAAATTTGATGTGGTTTATACCAAGCTTCGGTGCGGTGGGTGGGGCCGCCACCTGAAGAGCTGATTGGTTAATGGAGAGGCCTCCCTCTCATTGGCCCGTGGGGCTGTCGTTCTATGGTATGTCCCGCCCTCCTCCCTCGAACCCGGAAAAGGCAGGTAGGAAGGGCCCTGGGAAAGGGCGTCAGTGCCAATTCCGCCAACTCCGTGTGGACTTCGGACAACCTCATCTGCTATCCCACTTGGAAAAAGAGGATGATAGTACTACATCTGTCTGCCTCGGAGTCTAACAGGAAGAGAACACGAAAGCGCTCAGGGGAAAGCACTGCTGAGACAGAAAAGTGGTAGTGGTGGCTCTCCTTCCTTCGCCGGGGTTCCCGGCCCCTCTGGTCCGCGCCTTCCCCCGTGGCCCTCCGGTTCCACTCCTCTGGTTTCTTCCTCCGCAGACCTGCCAATCATGCAACTTCCTCGTTCCTATCCCGGTCTGTTAGTTTACTCACTTCCTGTGCTTTGCCCCACAGGGACCCTCATCTTCTCTTTTCTGCCCCAACTGGCAGGGTTGGGTTTGTGGAGCGACGCGGATGTAGGTGACAGTCTGGGAAGTGAGGGGGAGAAGATGGGAAGAAAGAAGTGGGGGGAGAGAGGGTGTAAACGGTCCTGGCCCAACTGTTCCAAGCCCTGAGAGTAAAGAGCTGTAGTGGTTCTGGAACCTTCTCCAGAGCATCTTTCAGCTCCCTGCTACTTCCGCTCTTCCTTCTTGGTTTGCTGGGACTTTCCAAGGGACCACACAAGTAGCGACAACACCTCTTCCCCCTATCCCTCTCAGGGACTACCTCTTCCCAATAAAAATCCCAAACTGGAACAGAATGAAAAGTAGCCCCTCCTAGGAAAGGACTGAGAGCTGAGCGCCAGGCCATCCACTGTTCCGCACCCCTGGGGACAAACTTGGAGGGACTAGGCAGGGCCTGTCCAGCTGATGAGGCTGCTCTGGAGCAAAACAACTGACTCATGAATGAGACTGTTTACTGCCTCTTAAATCCCAGGGGCCGGCCGACCTCACGCTCAGATCCACCAGCTTGGAGCTGGGATGGGAGAAAAGCCATCCAGCTCCTCCTGTGCTCAGAGGGCTTTGCTGGGCAGGAAGGAGAGCGAAGGTGTCTGACGGGCTGCTCTGCACAGCCCCTGTGCCAGGAAGCTGCTTCTCTGAGGACATGTCCAGTTCCTGCCCTCTGAGAGCTCCCAGTTGGATAGGGCAAAGGGAGGCACAACCCCTGCAGGGCAAAGAGCTCTGAAAGTTCCTCTTATGGTGGAAGGACTAGAACCCCAGCCGTCAGGGAGCTCCCAGACAGAGGGAGGTGGAGCCGTCCCCCAAGGTGCACACAATGGCCATGGCAGAAAATTCCCCAAACATCGGAAGGCACGAGACTCCTGACTTTGGGGAGATCCCAGTCTGAGGCAGGCTGCAGGATTTCCTAGCTGTGTGAGCTTGGGCAAGTTAACCTCTCCAGGCTTTAGTTTGTCTACCTGCTAAATGCAGATAATAGGACTTATCTCAGGATGGTTATAAGGGTTAAGTAGATAAATATATGTAAAATGTTTGGAATAATTCCTGGCTCATTCTAAATGCTCACTAAATGTTAGCTTTTTTTAATTTTTTTTTTGCTATTATTACTGTTAATTGTTAAAATGCCATTGTGAAGGAGGAGAGGGGCTTTTGCACTCTAGAGTCCCAGACTTGCCCACAGGGAGTGTGCAGTCTCACCACAGTGCCACTCAGAATCAGCAACAAAGACAGATGCAGTGGCTGCTGGCCAATCCTGGGAACATAGATTTGAGGGGACGCGGAGGTAAAGGTATGGAATACTGGGCAGAGGAGGGCCAGGAAAAATGTCCTTAATCCACCCTCTAGCACCCTTTCTTTATCCCTTTCCTCTGGACAGTGTGCATGCCCCTAAGTCATTGAACAAATAGACTTCACTGAGGCTAGAGCATGAATGAGAACTTGCCCTTCCTGCGCATCCACCAACTGACCACGGGCCCAGGGAAGCCTCAAGTTCATAGGGGGAAGAAAGTGTTGGCATGGCAATATCCATAAAGTGGACCTCACTATAAACTGCAATGCTGGTTTCCAAGATAATTTCATGTATGTTTTTTATGGTCAATCCGCAACGAGCAGGAACTCTTTTAACACTTACAGTTTTAAGGTTTCTCCGTTTGTTGACTTCCTTGCCCAGACTGCAAACACACCCACCCTTAAACGTGTTAAGGAAGTCCGAGATGAGGGAAACCCACCTATAATCCCAGTAATTTTAATGTAAACAATCCCTCCTCAATTATGTGTTTTCATGGTTAAGTGTTGTGCTATTTCACTGGAGACTGAGCATCCTAGATTCCAGCAAATCTTGAAGAGAGTGCCCCTTGCTGAGCCTCTTGTTGGCCCTCCTGTCCCCACTGTGGGTTCCATCCAGGTTTTATAATTTAGAAAGTGTCCTGTTTCTAAGAAAATTGTTTTCCCTGTTCATGAAACGGTAGGGCTGTTCCCACCCGCACACTGACCCCTCCTCAGCCCCTCCCACTGCCATTCACTTTGCTGCCTCCCAGGAGCTCCCAGCACTGGGCCAGAGACAGAGGTGAAGCCTCTGCCCTCCCCACTGAGCGACATAATCAGCCACTAGCCATCTGAATGAGCCAGGCAAGAAGGCAGTGATTCTAAGTGCTCTGGCTTATCTGCTGAGGGAGCAGCAGCCCCTTGGGCGCTCTCCCCAAGCCAGTGTTCAGTCCCATGTCAGCCCTCCCTGCTCCCTCCAGACACCAGGCCTTTTTCCTGGGTTGCCAATCTGGAGGGTGGGGTCAGAGTAGGCAAATTCTTCAAACTGCAGCTCAGCAAACTAGAATGAGGAAGGTGAATCTGCTGCCGAAAGAATCCTATTTTTTTTAATTATGTTTTTTTTTAATTGTGGTAAAATACATGTTTTTTATATATGGTTAATATGTCAGCCACTTTCAAAAGTACAGTTCAGTGGCATGGAGTACATTCATAGTGTTGTATAACCATCCCCACCATCTGTCTCCAGAACTTTCTTCACCTTCCCAAACTGAAACTCTGTCTCCATTAAACGCTGACTCTTCATCTTCCCCTCCCCCCCTCCCCCCACCCAGTTCCTGGCCACCACCACTTACTTTCTGTCTGTCTGAACTTGACTGCTCTAGGTACCTCATGTAGATGGAGTCGTACAGTATTAGTCTTTCTGTGACTGGTCTGTTTTACCGAGCATGATTGCCTCAAGGTTCATTCATGTGTAATATGTATCAATTTCCTTTCTAAGGCTGAATGATAGCTTACCGTATGGATGTACCACATTTTGTTTATCCATTCAGCTGTAATCCTGCTATGAACATTGGGGTACAAATATCTGTTCAAGTCCTTGCTTTCAGTTCTTTGGAGTGTATACCTAGAAGTCTTGAATCATACAGTAATCCGATTTTTAATTTTGTGAGGAAACTCCATACTGTTTTTTCCACAGTGGCCATTCCATTTTACGTTCCCACCAGCAATGCATGAGGGTTCCAGTTTCTTCACATCCTTACCAACACCTTTTGTTTGTTTGATTGTTTGGTTGGTTGGTTGGTTGGTTGGTTGGTTGGTTGGTTGGTTTTTTAATAATAGCCATCCTGATGAGTGTGAAGTGGTATCTCGTGGTTTTGATTTGTGTTTCCCTGATGAGTGGCAGTGTTGAACATCTTTTCATGTGTTTATTGGCCATTTGTATATCTTCTTTGGAGAAATGTCTATTCGAGTCCTTTGCCCATTTTTTAATTGGATTGTTGTTGAGTTGTAGGAGTTCTCTATATATTCTGGATATGAATCCCTTATGAGACACATGATTTGAGAATATATTTCCCCGTTCTGTGGGTTACCTTTTCATTCTGTTGATCGTGTCCTTTGCGCACAAACGTTCTTCATTTTGATGAAGTCCAATTTATCTATTGTTTCTTTTGTTGCCTGTGCTTTGGGTGTTGTATCCAAGAAATCACTGCCAAATCCAATGTCATGAAACTTTTCTCTGTGTTTCCTTCTAAGAGTTTTATAGCTGATGGGACTTTTTAAAAATATGGATTCCAAATCTCATTCCAGACCTACCAAGGCAGATTCTCTGCTACTCAGGAAGCCGTATTTTTCTAAAGCTTCTCAGTGACTCTGGCCTAGTCCATCTTCCCATAAAGTACAAGAATCTTCTTTATAGCATTCCTGAAAGCCAGTCTTTTAGTCTTGTCTTGCCTAGACATAGTGAGCTTATTCTATTTCAAATAGAACAAAATTATAAGACAGTTTCTAAATATTCATCCGAAATCTGGTTCACTTCTGCCTATTGATTCAAATGCTGCCATCCAAGAAAAATAGAATAAGTATAAATCTTCATTCAGATATTTCAGCATGTTCTTTTTTTAAATTTTTTTTTCAACGTTTTTTATTTTATTTTTTGGGACAGAGAAAGACAGAGCATGAACGGGGGAGGGGCAGAGAGGAGACTGACAGAATTGGAAATCCTGCCTCAGGCTCCTGAGCCAGCTGCCAGAGCTCTGTTTGCATACACTTCACGACCAGGCAGATCTATGACCTGGCCAAAGTCGGACGCTCAACCGACTGCGCCACCCAGGTGCCCCCAGCATGTTCTTAATGATTGCTCAGATAGTCTCTTCTCTAACCGCCACCCCCCCCCCCCCCCCCACCCCCCCCCCGCCAAAGAAGTCCCCAGTTTATTTCATTACTTTCTTAAATGACCCACTTTTCCCGATTATCCTGGTCACTCTCTCCTGGAAGCTCTCAAGCTGTCAA